TGACCAGGATGGTCTCGATCTCTTGACCTCGTGATCCACCCGCCTTGGCCTCCCAAAGTGCTGGGATTACAGGCTTGAGCCACCGCACCCGGCCCTGGGAAATATTTCTTGTATGCCATGTTCTGTTACTAAACAGGATGTCAGAAGAAAATAGGTCTCTCAGCATGTTAAAGAGTAAGCAAGCTGGGCGCCGTGGCTCACCCCTGTGATCCCAGTGCTTCAGGAGGCTGAAGCGGGAGAATCACAAGGTCAAGAGATTGAGACCATCCTGGCCAACATGGTGAAACCCTGTCTCTACTAAAAATACAAAAATTAGCTGGGCGTGGTGGAGTGCACCTGCAGTCCCAGCTGCTTGTGAGGCTAAGACACAAGAATTGCTTGGGACGTAGAGGTTCAGTGAGCTGAGATCAAGCCACTGCACTCCATCCTGGTGACAGAGTAACCCAGAAGGTGGAAGTTCTAGTGAGCAAAGATCACACCATTGCACTCCAGCCTGGGCGACAGAGTGAGACTCCATCTCAGGAAAAAAAAAAAAAAAAAAAAGAAAGGGTTAACAAATCCATTATTCCTCACATACAAAGAATCTGCAGATTGTTCCTGTTTCAGTAGGTCTGACGTGCCAGGGCTCTTTGGAGTACACTTCTTTGGGCAGCTTCCACTTCAGGAACTTGGCACATATAGTTAGGACTCGCCTGCTCTCCTTTGAAAAAAGATGATCATAGATCAGCAGTGGCGCCATCTCAGCTCACTGCAACCTCCTCCACCTCCCAGGTTCAAGCGATTCTCTTGCCTCAGCCTCCCAGGTAGCTGGGATTACAGGCTTGCACCACCATGCCCAGCTAATTTTTATATTTTTGGTAGAGACAGGGTTTTGCCATGTTGGCCACACTGGACTCGAACTCCTGACTTCAGGTGATCCGCACACCCTGGCCTCCCAAAGTGTTGGGATTACAGGAGTGAGCCACCATGCCTGGCCTCAAACATTTTTAAACAGAGGTAATCTTTCTTCAATAAAACTAGTACTAAAGTACAATATGAAAAGCCGATAAAGAGAGCAGAAGGGTGGAAAGGAACTAGAATCCTGCCCTCCTCCTCCTCCTCCAACTTCCCCAAATAGTCCTTAAATGGAATCCACAAAAAGCTTAGGGTTTTGGGGAGGATGTAGAAACCACTGGTGCTGGGCAAAAGCAACAGCTTGCAGGTGCAATCCCTAGACCAGAGGTTTGGGCAGGAATTCCCATTACTCTGTGCCCTAGAGATGGAGCTCCCACCTCCACTTACTGTACCTATGCTATTTTTCTGTCACTCTACAAAGGAAGTGCAGCTCCTGACTTCTGTCCTTGTGGCATCTCTGGGTTGGAAGGAAGGAACTCTAGAGCATTGATCTCTTCCTGATCCACATCCTTGAGCAATATTTACCAAGTGGGCCTCTTTTCTAGTTCATTGTTTTCAGAATGTCACACATACGCCATACAACACCTCTGATAAGTCTCCAAGTCAGTATTTTATCTCAGGTCCACTAGATGTTTGGGCTGTAAGAATTCCTTTGGTGAATGATGGGCATATAAATTAGTTTAGCCACTATGTTTAGTGATTTATAAATATCTAATAAAGATACCTATTCTACTTCAGGGTTTATGCCCTCAAGAAACTCTCATATGCATGCACAAGGAAATGTGTAAAATAATTGTAGCACTGTAATCATGAAAAATTGAAATGTCAGGCCAGGCGCGGTGATTCACGCTTGTAATCCCAGCACTTTGGGAGGCCGAGGCGGGTGGATCACTTGAGGTCAGGAGTTTGAGACCAGCCTGGCCAACATGGCAAAACCCTATCTCTACTAAAAATAGAAAAATTAGCCAGGAGTGGTGGTGGGTGGCTATAATCCCAGCTACTCAGGAAGCTGAGGCAGAATTGCTTGAACCCAGGAGGTGGAGGTTGCAGTGAGCTGAGGTCACATCACTGCGTTCCAGTCTGGGTGACAGAGACCCTGTCTCAAAAAAATACATATATATATATGAATATATGAATGCTTCTTTTCTTTGCAGAGTTGGCTCTGGATTTGAAGTTATTGGGGGATGAAAAACACTGACAGTAGGCATTACCTCAGCTATGGCATCGTTTTCATCCTGAGAATACAGAAGTAGTGGGACCAAGCTGTCCAGGACTTGGTTCTCTACACTCTTCTTATCTGGGTTTTTCACAGACTTTATGGCAGCTCCAAAGAGAATCATGGAGAAACGATGAATGTCAGGTCTCACCTTGGAAGGGAGTAGCCAAAGGGAAGTGATTGAACGTGTACATCCTCAGCTCATAAGAACTTGGGAGGGGTTGAAAAACCAGTTCTGACATGAGGCTATTTAGCTGTATGTAGCTGAGAGCAAGAAATAAAATATACGTGGACACATGCCAGGCACAGTGACTCACACCTATAATCCCAGCACTTTGGGAGGCTGAGGTGAGCAGATCACTTGAGACCAGGAGTTCAAGACCAGCCTGGCCAATATGGTGAAACCCCATCTCTCCTAAAAATACAAAAATTAGCCGGCCATGGTGGTACATGCCTATAGTCCCAGCTACTTGGGAGGCTGAAGCAGAATAATTGCTTGAACCTGGGAGGCAGAGATTGCACTGGGCCAAGATCACACCACTGCACTCCAGCCTGGGCGACAGAGCAAGCCTCCATCTCCCTCTCGCTCTCTCTCTCTATATATATATATGGATACAGTAAGACTTGCTGCTTTGGCACTACTTGTTTTCTCACTCTACAAGTGAGAGATGCACACAGTACCACCTGTAGTTGGCAAACCTCGTGGCTGGTACAGGCAGGAACCATTCATAGGCTGTATTTTATTTTATTTTATTTATTTTTTGAGATGGAGTCTCACTCTGTCGCCCAGGCTGGAGTGCAGTGGCGTGATCTCGGCTCACAGCAATCTCTACCTCCCGGGTTCAAGCGGATCTCCTGTCTCAGCCTCCCAACTAGCTGGGATTACAGGTGCCCGCCACTCCGCCCAGCTAACTTTTTGTACTTTTAGTAGAGATGGGTTTTCTTTTTTTGAGACGGAGTTTCGCTCTCGTTACCCAGGCTGGAGTGCAATGGCGCAATCTCGGCTCACTGCAACCTCCGCGTCCTGGGTTCAGGCAATTCTCCTGCCTCAGCCTCCTGAGTAGCTGGGATTACAGGCATGCGCCACCATGCCCAGCTAATTTTTTGTATTTTTAGTAGAGACGGGGTTTCACCATGTTGGCCAGTCTGGTCTTGATCTCTTGACCTCGTGATCCACCCGCCTTGGCCTCCCAAAGTACTGGGATTACAGGCGTGAGCCACCGCGCCCGGCCAGAGATGGGTTTTCACAATGTTGTCCAGGCTGGTCTTAAACTCCTGACCTTGTGATTCACCCACACTGGTCTCCCAAAATGCTGGGATTACAGGTTTGAGCCACTGTACCTGGCCCACACAGGGTGTTTTGCTGAAATTCCAAAGCCCAGCCTTGGCATGTTTTACTTTTTTTTTTTTTTTTTTAGGCAGAGTCTCACTCTGTTGCCCAGGCTAGAGTGCAAATGGTGCCATCTCAGCTCCCTGCAACATCTGCCTCCCGGGTTCAAGTGATTCTTTCGACAGCCTCAGGATTAGCTGGGATTACAGGCATGCGCCACCACACCCAGCTAATTTTGTATTTTTAGTAGAGACAGAGTTTTATCATGTTGGCTAGGCTGGTCTTGAACTCCTGACCTTGGGTGATCCTCCTGCCTCGGCCTCCCAGAGTGCTGGGATTACAGGTATGAGCCACTGCACCTGACCGGCATGTTTTACTCTTCCAAGGATGCTGGTCATTGTGCTCCATGTATTTCGTCTTAAGAAATACATGGGTTTTGGGACAGAGACATAAGTATCATCTACCATCTTGACCCAGTTCTGATGGTTCTTGAAGGGAAAGAGTGTTTTCTCCTTCCCCATCCCAAATCAAGGTAGTACCTTAGCAAGTTTCTATATTCAGTTTTTTTTGTTGTTGTTAAATCTGAAAAACAATAACATCAGCCCTTTCAACATCGCAGGTTACCTAGAAGGGTCTTAAGAGAGGAGGTTGGAAAAGCTCTGAAAATGAAAGTCCTATACCAAACAGATTATACTTATTACTATACCAACTTCTGTTTGCTCTTATACCCATTACCCTCCTCCTAGGAAAATCTCCCCTCTCTGATTGTCTTACGTCACCAAATAAGGAGAACAGAGTCCTCATCATGGCAACCAGGGTAGTGAAATCCATTGTTTTAACAAGTTTCAGGAGTATCTGGATGGCTGACTGAACAATCTTCTCATCGGTTTCACGCAAGCTGCCTAAGATGTATGGCAACAGGCTCTTGATGTCTTCTCTCTGTGTGGCCAAAGGGAGCACATCACCTTCTCTCTTGATTGCACATCACCTGGTACCAAAGGGGGTACTCCCCATCTTTACTCAGGACCTACTGCTCACTGATTTTAGTAGCGCTGGCAGACCCAGAAGGAAGAAGGGAATATGATAGCCCTACATGGAGGAGGGGCAGAGCTACTTTGAATTGCCTCAAGGGCAAAAGTGGGACCAGGCAGGGAGATCTAGGGCTATGGGCTTGGGCTCACTGTAAGAAAGAGCTCTGCTAACAGGTGAAAGTGGAGCAGGTAGTTCAGGCCACGATGAGCTCCCAAACACACAAGCTGGCTCAAAGATCCTCATATGGTTTGGCTCTGTGTCCCCACCTAAATCTCATGCCGAATTGTAATTCCCACATGTAGAGGGAAGGACCTGGTGGGAAAAGATTGGATCATGAGGGTGGATTCCCCATGCTGTTCTCATGATAGTGAGGAAGTTCTCAGGAGATCTGATGGTTTAAAAGTGGCAGTTTCAGATGGGCGCGGTGGTTGAGGCCTGTAATCCCAGCACTTTGGGAGGCCGAGGTGGGCGGATCGCTTGAAATCAGGAGTTCAAGACCAGCCTGGCCAGTACGGTGAAACCCCATCTCTACTAAAAATACAAACCTTAGCTGGGCGTGGTGGTGCGCACCTGTAGTCCTAGCTACTCAGGAGGCTGAGGCAGGAGAATCACTAGAGCTTGAACCCGGGTGGCGGAGGTTGCAGTGAGCTGAGATCATGCCACTGCACTCCACCCTAGGTGACAAAGCGAGACTTGGTCTCAAAAAATAAAAATAAAAAATAAAATAAAGATGTCAGTTTCTCCTGCTTTCTGTCTGTCTCCAGCTCCGCCATTGTGAAGAAGTACCTACTTCCCCTTTGCCTTCTGCCATGATTGTGAGTTTCCTGAGGCCTCCCTAGCCAAGCAGAATTCTGAGTCTATTAAACCTCTTTTGTTTATAAATTACCCAGTCTTAAGAAGTATCTTTTTTTTTTTTTTTGAGATGGAGTCACCCAGGATGGATTGCAGTGGCGCGATCTCAGCTCATAGCAACCTCTGCCTTCCAAGTTCAAGCGATTCTCCTGTCTCAGCCTCCTGAGTAGCTGGGACTATAGGCACATACCACCACGTCTAGCTAATTTTTGTATTTTTATTAGAGAAGGGGTTTCACCATGTTGGTCTCGATTTCTTGACCTCGTGATCTGCCGCCTTGGCCTCCCAAAGTGCTGGGATTATAGGCGTGAGCCACTGTCCCTGGCCTAAGGAGTATCTTTATAGTAGTGTGAAAACGGATCCCCTGGAAGGAATTCAAGCAGAATTTGACTGAGGACTTAAGGGTTCTTACCATTCTGAATGGGGATTCTGCTCATCTGAAACTACTGAAAGGAAGCAGTCTTAGGGTTATAAAGTTTAAACACATGCATGAAAAAGTAGGTAGAATATAAACACAAGTTATAAAGCCAGTTTTTTTAAAAAGTAGAATAGTTAGTAGAATAAAGCAATTAACATACATTGACATTTGTCATTTTTGCTTCAGAAATACACATTTTTTTTTGAGACAGGATTGCACTCTGTCACTCAGGCTGGAGTGTAGTGGCATGATCATTGCTCACTGCAGCCTCGACATCCCGGGCTCAAGCAATCCTCCCATCAGCCTCCCACATAGCTGGGACCATAGGCACGTGCCATGATGCCAGCTAATGTTTTTGGCATTTTTTGTAGAGATGGGGTTGTGCCACGTTGCCCAGGCTGGTCCCGATCTCCTGGGCTCAAGTGATTCTCCCACCTTAGCCTCCTGAGTAGCTGGGACTACATGCGTGTACCATCGAATAAGGCTATACAGTCTCCTGAAGCCAGCAAATCTAAAGGGATGTAGAATTCCATCACGAAGCCAGTCTTTTACACTGGCAATGAAGTCTATATCTGGCTAATTTTCATTTTTTAAAAAATAGAAACAGGGTCTTACTTTGTTGCCCAGGGTGGTCTTCTGGTCTTGAACTCCTGGCTTCAAGGGATCCTCTCATCTCAGCTTCTCAAAAGTGCTAAGATTTTTTTTTTTTTTTTGAGATGGAATTTTGCTCGTGTTGCCCAGGCTGGAGCGCAGTGGCGTGATGTTAGCTCACTGCAACCTCCACCTCCTGGTTCAAGCAATTCTCCTGCCTCAGCCCTCTGAGTAGCTAGGATTATAGGCATAGACCACCACATCCAGCTAATTTTTGTATATTTTTAATGGAAACAGGGTTTCACTGTGTTGGCCAGGCTGGTCTCAAACTCCTGACCTCATGATCCACCTGCCACGGCCTCCTAAAGTGCTGGGATTATAGGCATGAGCCACAGCATCCAGCCAAAAGTGCTAAGATTATAGGTGTGAGCTACCTTGCCCAGCTCAAATATATATACATATATGTGTGTGTGTATATATAACATTTTTGGGAGATGGAGTCTTGCTCTGTCATCTAGGCTGGAGTGCAATGGTGCAATCTTGGGTCATTGCAAACTCTGCCACTCAGGTTCAAGCGATTCTCCTGCCTCAGCCCTGGCATCTCCAAGTAGCTGGGATTACAGGCACCTACCATCATGCTCAACTAATTTTTGTGTTTTTAGTAAAGACAGGGTTTTACCATGTTGGCCAGGATGGTCTCAAACTCCTGACTTGAAGCAATCTACCTGCCTCAGTCTCCCAAAGTGCTGGGATTACAGGCATGAGTCAGTTCACCCAGCCTAGCCAAGATATTTTTATTTTTTTGAAATGGAGTCTTGCTCTGTTGTCCAGCCTGGAGTGAAGTGGCACAATCTCAGCTCACTACAACCTCTGCCTCACAGGTTCAAGCGAATCTCCTGCCTCAGCCTCCCAAGTAGCTGAGACTACAGGCACATGCCACCATGCCTGGCTAATTTTTGTATTTTTAGTAGAGACAAGGTTTCACCATGTTGGCCCAGCTGGTCTCGAACTCCTAACCTCATGATCCACCTGCCTTGGCCTCCCAAAGTGCTGGGATTACAGGCGTGAGCCACCATGCCCGGCCAATTTCACTAATTTTTAAATAGTCAGTACTTGCCTATTTTTTAGGTATAAAATTTTAAATGGTACAAAAGGATGTGCAGGAAAAAAGAATTTTTCCTCCCTACTCTTGTCCCCAGGCTATCCAATTGTCCTCCTCAGCTGTTTTCAGTTTCTTAGGTATCATTTTTGGAGTGATTTATTTGTGATTTAGGAATCAGTGGTCTGGGCCAGGCACTGTGGCTCATGCCTATAATCCCAATATTTTAGGAGGCCGAGCTGGGAGGATCACTTGAGCCCAGGAGTTCGAGAGCAGCCCTGGCAACAT